CAGGTACAGGCGTCCGGTTCCAGTCTCGGAATTGTAACTCTCCCGTAGGACACAAAAAAAAAACCCCGAAACACATGGTCTTTAATAAACAAGACTTGGGGAAGATTACAACTGAGGAAATCCGGATATTATGGCTAGCTACGCAGCCGGAGATTGGGCAAAGAATGAACTTCGGGTTTCTATTCACCAAATGCATTGAAGGTGTCCTCTCGGGTACAAGGAAGGGTGAAATTCATTTTGGGGGGATGGTCACTCGGATAGCCGAGAAGTTGGGGCATTTGGCGAAGCTTGAATCTTGCACCCCCGTGGGGAAGAGTGATGGGAGTGATATTTGGCTCGACCTCGACCAGCTAAAGACCATGAAATTCATCGCTGATACCGAGGATCGAGGAAGGACTTAGAGCTTACTTGTCTCCCATGAACATCACTGTTTCCTTCCCAAGCCGGAATTCACTTCCTTCACGAGGGAAGGAGTCAATTACCCATGGTGGGTAAAGAAGGACTCGGGTGTCCTTCATAGTGCGAGAATGGTCATGGGGGAAGGGTCCGGTCAAAGCCATGAGAGCGCAGAGGATGAGTTCAACTAACAACAACAACAAAGCAGTAGGCAACAACAACAACATCATCAACCTGACTACCAACAAAAAATGGAGGCAATGAGAGCCCCAAATGGAAAGCATGCAACTTGGCATGCAAGGTATGTTTGCTTCCCACCAACACCTTTCTTACCAAACCAACGCTTTGTATGATTTGAGTGTACGTAGAGGGGATGTCACCCCCCCGGTCAACTACCCATATGTGACGGCCCAACAAGGGCCCGTGCCATCTTGGGGGGGTGACAACCAACCTACGTACCCATATTGGCAAGGGACCTCGGACCCTATTGTGCCTAGGCGTGATTTCCCTGATGAGTCCGGTCATTATGATTACCGGGTTTCGGGTGGGAGTCATTACAGGGGTGATCCTAACTACCCCTATGTCGATCCCTCTCACCCCGCACCCCTTGTCCAACCCGAGCCATATGACCAGTTATCCGCATCCCAACTTGACCTCTTCAAGGGTCATAATGGGTGTCCACCTGGCTACTCCGGAGGTTGGGACCCCTATGGGCCCCCCTCGGGTTTCTCTTATGACAGTGGGAGTGCAGATAACGACGGTGCCGGCCCTAGTGGCCATTAGTTTCCCCCTTGTTCTTTTTGTTCCCTCCCTTTGTCTTCCCTCCCCTTTATTACATGTCCTCATGCTGCATCGAGGACGATGCTTTACTCTAGTGTGGGGGGGGTGTTTGAGTCAAAGGAGAGTGTTAGGGAATGCTTGAGGTAAGTGTGGGGGAAGGCACCTAGGACTCAAGGGACTATTTAGGGGTTTTGGGTGTAGGTGTCGTTGGTAGCGTTGTTGTTGTTTGGTGTCTATGATGTCCATTTCTATGATGATGATGATATGATGATAATGTTTTGATGATGATGATTCTATGATGATGGTATGTTTGAGTAGTAGGTCACACCCAAAGAATTAAGTTCATGGATTTTCTTTCTCTCTCTAGTACTAAATTTCTTTTCTTTGTAGTGCTTGCCTTGTTTTTCTTTGTTTTTCTCTCTTTTTTAGCTTGGAAGAAATTGAAAGCGACATGTGGAGGCACGGTAAATTGCTTGGTTGCTTTTTTTCTTTCTTCAAGAGACATGGGTGAGATCTTTCCTTTACTTTTCTTTTCTCTTCTCGTGTCGTGTTTAGTTTAGGATTTAGCTTAGGAAAGAGTTGACTGGTTCGAGGATGTTTGCATGCGGTTCCAAGGAACCTGGGATCGTTGGTATTGAGAACGAACGATCACTTGTATGTCGATTGGGATTTATTTGAATCTTTAAGCCTCTTATATGAACCTTCTTGATTCCCTCTTTCTTTTGTTCTACTTCCTTTTGTGTGATAAGCGTAATTATGGCATGATGATATGGTTGTGTTTTGGAACTTGCTTGCTACATTTGGACTCTATCTCCGTGATGATGCATCCTAGAATGTTTGTCCTTTTTCTTAACTATGTTATGAGATGCACATTTCGAGATTGTTGTTGATTCAATTAGACGAGCCTTAGTTAAGGTAGCAAGGGTAAGAACTTGTGAGGGTGTTTGAACCCCTAGTTCAAGGGATGTGGTAAGATGGAGTTACTCCTTGTAGTGGATTTGAAGCCCTTTAGTTGGTATTTGCTTACTTTTCTCGTCCCTTGTGAGGTTCACTTTGTTCAAGCCTTCATCAACTTGTTGAGCGGCGTGTTAGGATCCTCGACTATGCATGTTTGAATCCTTGTGTTGACTATTAGCTCCCAAGATTGTGACCTTGGACTTTTGAGGGAGGAAAAGGGCACCTTTTCTCATTTTTGTTTATATTCTCTTTTATTTAGTTACAAATTTGATTTTTCTTTTTGCATCAATCTTCTTACCAACCAATTTGAGCCTAATGTTTTCCCATTCTTGTCTCAACCTCATTACAAGCCTAACGACCTATGTTTACCAACCCTTTAAGTTAGTGAAGCAATGGGTTTGTGAGGCTAGTGTGAAAGAGCGTCATGAATGTGAGCATGAATCATCTGTGAAATTGGTTTGTAATTCTAGAGTTAAATATGTAAGGAAGTTTGGAAAAGAGTGTTTCAAAAAAAAATGAATGAAATGAGAAAATTATTTATTTTGTATATACTTGAATAAGGAGTGGTGATGAGAATGAAATCAAAATGTTTGGATGTTCGTTTGAGTTGTGGTTGTGTTTTGAGTTTTGACCTTGAGGGTTGCCCTTCCTCTTGCTTCACTTAGGAATTACCGCCACTATTTCAAATTGTTCTTCCGACATCTACCTTAAGCCGTGTCATTACAACCCTTGTGAAGCCCCTTTGACTTTAAGAGTGCGTGGTCAACAACCGGTGGAGGGAGATGGTTCTCAACCCTGTGGAAAGAACGTGCATAGTTGAGATGTCGGGATGATCTTTTACCTCCTCAAAATGAGTCTTTTTCCGGTTCCTTCGTGGAATCATGAGGAACCATCTAGGGGGTCGATTTGAAGCTAGTGGGGAGAACGCGGACCGTTCTAGAGGGGATTAGGGTGGAAGACGACTCACTAGTTCTCTATGCTTAGTTGAGGCTTGACTCTTGCAATATTTAGCATCTTGAGGCGTGCATGCATTATGTAGTTGAGAATAGCTAATATTCTTTGACGTTTTTGAAATGGTTGAGTCCGAATAAAGCATTTGTCCTTTTGATCTCTAATGTTGTTTTTCCAAAACCATGCCGTATTATGTTTGTCTTTGTGGTGTTTGATTTATCTTTCTTTCTTTGTCTTGCTTGAGGACAAGCAAGAGGCAAGTGTGGGGGATTTTTATGTGTGGCATTTATGCCACCATTTTACCCTTTTTCACTAGAGATTTCCTACCGGATTTGTCACTTGTTTATGCCTCTTTTCACCCCTTTTATCTCGATTTTAGTCACTTTAGCTCCCTCTCGTATTTTCCCTTCCCTTTTGTCTTTTCTATTAGTTTTTACCTCCTTTTTGTGTGTTTTGATAGCTCCCAGCCGCTCGTGTACGAATCATGAATTAGTAGCTTGAGTAGAGATGCCAAAGGAGCTTGCCAAGGGAGTGGAGATGCCAAAATGGAGAGGGTGCGCTGTTAAGAATGGTTGCGGGCGCGGGCTTGATAGCCGCGGGCGCGGACAGGAAAACCCTGAAGCCAGCAAAAGAAAGTGGAGATGGCGAGCCGCGGACGCGGAGAAAAGGGGTCGTGGGCGCGGCAGAGAAGACCCGCGGGCGCGGCATTCTGGGTTTGACGAGGCTTATTACCCAGCTTGGAGAGGGCGCGGCAGCCTGTTCGGAGAGCCCTCTCCCTTGCCCTTTTTCTTCATTTTGGTAGAAGACTATAAATAGTCTTTAGCTTGAGTTTTTCACTCATTCACTATTCCATTGGCTTAAAATCATTTGTAGAGAGAGAATTTCCATGGCTTCTAGAGAGAGAAAACACTAGTCTTCAAGAATCAATCTTTGTAATCAAATATTCAAGCTTTCTTCTAGATTGTTGCTACTACTTTGATGATTTGGTAATCTTTCATCTTTATAATATCAATCTTTACTTTTGTTTCTCTAGTTTTTGATCTTCTTTGTTTTATTGTTCTTACTTAAGTTTACTTTCATAAATATTCAAGCTTTATTAGTTTCCTTGATTTCCTTTCAAGTTAGAATCATGTTAGGTTGTGTTGATATTGAATATATGCTTATGTTAGTTGTTATGTCTATTCCCTTCCTTCTAGCTTAGGTTTTTAGCTAGGGAAGGGGGTGATAATCATGTGTATTTGACTATCTATTGATTATTGATTGGGATTTATTCTTGAGTTGATGATTTGAGCTATAATATGCCTAGAGTTAGTGTGTGCACCTCTAATCCCAAGAGTCTAGCCCTTGATTGAATGCATAAGAATGATTTAATCTAGGTGTGAATGATTTCATCGACTTGCTTGAGTAGTTGCATGAGAATGAACTATCTTAGGTAGAGTTTATACTCCTAGAATCGGTTCCTTATCGGTTTTCATTAGTATTCCTTGTTCATGATTGAATCCCCCTCTCCCTAGTGCTTTTGTCATTGGTATCTCTCTAATCTTGTCCATTTATTCGCATTTAAGAGTGTTTAATCTATTTCATTTGTTTTTAATTTATTCTAGGCACAATAGTAGTTGGTTTGTCCATAGGATTCTTCAAACACAAATCTCAAAACCCCTTTTTTCGTTACTAGCAATTTATCCTAGATTTCGTGTTAATTATGCTAAACCCCCGTTTCCTTGGGAATCGACCCTACCTTACCGCTATCTAAAGTAAAATTGATAGAGTTAGGATAGGAGTTATAAATTGTAATTTTGATCTAGGATGGTAAACTAACGACCTATTGTCCACCGATCAATGTTCAACCCTCTTCTTCTTCTAGGTCTAATTTTGAAGAGATAATTGAAAATCAAACTAAGATTTTGAACACATACATGGCAGTTAGTGATAAGAAATTCAATGAAATGATGACCCATAACAAGATGTTAGAGAGCCAAATTGCTCAATTGGCCAATACCTTGAAAGAGAGTGCAAGTCCTTCTTCTCTACCCTCCGAAGGTCTTGACCCTAAGAAACTGGTTTATTCTATCACCACTAGAAGTGGCAAGGTACTAAAGGATAGAGTGTCTAAGAGTAGTCAAGAGAACGAGAAGGTGAGTGATACATTTGATGATGATGAGCATGACGTGTCTAGCAAGAAGAGTGAGAGTTCTAATGAGAAGGCCAAGGAGAAAGAGAGAATGGAAGATGATGAGGTTATCAAAGCTAAACTTCCTTACCCCCAAAAATTCTTGAGTCTTAAAATGGATGAGCAATTTGGGAAGTTTATTGATATGCTTAAGCAACTTCATCTTTCTATTTCTTTCACCGATGCTTTGCAACAAATGCTAAATTATTCCAAGTTCCTTAAGGATATTTTGAGTGGCAAGAGAGAGTGCAATGTGGTAGATTCAGTGAATGTTGGGGAGTGTTGCAGTGCTCTTATCGATAATGACCTACCCCCAAAGATGAAAGATCCGGGGAATTTCTCCATCCCTTGCAATATCAATGGCAAATTGTTCCAAAATGCTCTTTATGATTTAGGTGCTTGTGTTAGCATCATGCCATATTCCTTTTTCAAGAAGCTTAATCTAGGAGAGCTACTTCCTACCAACATGACCCTACAATTGGCCGATCGTTCAATTATGATTCCCAAGAGTAAGATTGAGGATGTCCCCCTCAAGATAGGAGAGTTTACCATCCCCGTTGATTTCATTGTACTTGAGTTGCTGAATATGACAATATTCCCATCATCTTAGGGAGACCATTCTTAGCCATGTCGGGTGCCTTGATTTATGTGAAAGGCGGCATCATTACTTTGTGTGTTAGTAATAGTAAGGCTAGTTTCAAGCTTAAGTTAATGGATGAGTCTCTATCTTACGTGCAAGGAATCATGTGCATCAATTCACCTCCTTTGAGTGACAATGCTTGCATGTTTGTGTCTTCTACTAACGACATTATTGTAGCTTGTGATGATGTTCCTAAAAGTGTTAAAAGCAAGATAGTTAGTGAAGATGTCAAGGAGTTCTCAAAGCTTGAGGATGAGTTTGAAATTCCTTCATGGTTTGAGCTTTCTTTGAAGGATGATGAGAATGGATTTTCAAGTGTTGTTGATGTGGAGTTATTAACTCCAAGGAAGAAGAAATCAAGGAAGAGAAAAAGAATTTCAAAGAAGAAGAAGAAATTGAAGAGCAATGTCTTTGGTTCGGTCCAAGTGTTTCCCCATGATGAGTCTTGTGATATAATTGTATCTAAGCTTGGCAATGATTTTGTTCTCTCCACCACTTTTGACAAGGTTGTCTTCTTTGACCCTCCGTGATTTGGAGGAAGGGTCAAGTTAGGGACCTTAAACTAGCACTTCACGAGAGGCAACCCGACCCTCTAACTTTTCTGTTTTCATTTTTCTTTTACTCTATTTTCTCTTTTCTTTACTTGACTTTATCTTGAAGTTACTAACATGTGTTTTGCGTATAGTTTGTTTTCTTTTCTTTTTCTAATCTTGTCTTGTAGATTTTGCGTATAGCTTTCTTAGAGCTATGTGGAGGTGTAAGCTTCCTTTTGCATCTTTCCTTTGCATAGCTTGGATCACTTGGTGAGATCTTTCTATTTTTTTTCTCCTTTCATTTTATTGTGTGCATAGTTTAGGTGTTAGCTTAGGTTGGAGTTGAACAGTTCGAGGTCATATGCTATTAACACCTTGAGGGTGTTTGGGGCCATTAGCGTTGTTGTCGAATGGCCATTGTTTGTCGATTGGGAATTATTTGTATTAGCATACACCTTTGACTTCTTCTTCTCTCTTTTTCTTTTCTTTTCTTTCCTTTCCTTTTCTTTCCTTTTCTTCTCCCCTTATCTTTTTACCTTTTCTTTTGAAAAAAAAATTCGAAAATTTAAAATACAAAAAGATTTTCATTTGAGGCAAAGTTTTCTTTGTGTCTTGTATTTGCTTTTGCCTTGGATTTAGTAGCTTTTAGACTTGCATTTTTAGATGTTTACCTTCCTAACCAATAATAGTTTGCACGGTTTGAGATTATGCTCGGTTAATTCTAGGATAAGGTATGCTAAGGTAGTTTGTTAAGAACATTCAAGACCTTGAAACCCTAGTCCACTTATTTGTGGTAAGAAGGTGTTGCTTCCTATAGTGGATTTGAAGCCAAAAGTGTGTTTTTGCTACAACCATGTGAGGCCTCATTTTTTCTAACCTTCTAGCTATCTTGTATGAATGGCATGGATCCTTCACTACCGCTCACTCTTATCTAGAACTTGACTTTTATCTCCCGGGATCACGACCGAACCATTTGGGAAAGACAAAGGCAACTTTCTAGAGTGGTTATTTTTGCTTTTCTAGGTTTAGTTTTATCGTTTTTGGTTTTGGGTTTACATTTTCCCTTCTTGCTAGCCATTTGAGCCTTATACCCTCTTTTCTAGCCATATTACTAGGCTTCTTACAATTCTTTCATTCTTTTCATTTTGGTTTTTGTAAAGCTAGTGGTGATGAGTTTTTTTGGTGATTGTAAGTCCAATAGTTTGAAGTTATGAGCTCATTTTGTATAGCAAGTATCTATTGTGTATAAGTTTGTGAATAAAATCAAATGCAATGTTGAAAAAGCCGTCCATAGTCAAAAGAGGCAAGGACAGTGCAATAAAGTAACAAAAAAGAAGAAAAAAAAGAAAAAGCAAATGCTTTAAGGAAAATGGAAAAAAAAAGAGAGAGAGAGAGAGAGAAATGAAAAGCACAAAAATATTTTGATGTAGCTATGATCTCCCTGGTCTAGAGCATTGAGGACAATGCTTCATTTAAGCTTGGGGGAAGCGTGTCTACGCTTTTTGTATATAGTTTTGTGGTGTTTCTTTGAATAAGCTTGGGGGTGTTGGTATTTTTGTTTAAGTTTTGGTGATAACTTGGTTATGGTGTTGAGAATTGGCCACTCTTATGCTTCACAATTAGGTATACCACCAATTTTCAAATTTTAAGCCTACCTTTATCCTATTTGCCCTTACATTACAACCCTTCAAAGACCTTTTGACCCTTATGGTAGAGTCACAAGTCAGTGGAGGGAGATAGGAGTCAAGCCTATGGAGCAAGTTTGCATGGTCAAGATGTCGAGTAGCCTTAGATCTTTTCTTTTCCGGTTCCTTCGAGGAATCATTGAGATGCTCTCTTGAGGTGGATTGAAACTAGTAATGAGAACGCGATAAGATTGTTTGGGATGTGAAGGTGAATTGCGTTTTGTTAGTTCTCTATGATTAGCATATTTTATGTTTCAATCAACCTTGGATATCTTGGAACGTGCAACCCCTTGCTTGTTTAGAAAGCTTTGTATCTATTTGTGCTTGTCCATTTTAAAAGGTCCATTTCAAAAGCATTTGTGTTCTTTTTCTTTTTGATTTCATTTTCCTTTTATGCTTTGCCTCGTTTTACTTTGGTTGCTAGAGTTATGGGTTAAACTCTTTGGAAACCCTTACAAGATCATCACTCGTCCTCCAGAGCGATCTAGGGTTTAAATGGCTTGTCACTAGCTAAAAGATGACCGTGATTCCTACGTAAGTGAGTTAGTGTACATTCCCCTTCTCTTTTCTTTCTTTTCTTTACTTGAATAAGCTATCATGTGAGTGAAATTCGCTTTCTTTTTCCTTTTTCTCGCTTTTGTTTTGCTCGAGGACGAGCAAAAGTCTAGCTTGGGGAATTTGATGAGTGTCATTTATGGCACTCATATGGTAGCATTTTAGGACATTTTCCTTCTATTTTATACCTTTTCTCTATAAATAATGCCTTAGTTTCGTTCATTTATGCTTTAGTTTCTTCGTTTCCCTTATTTTGTGCTTTCTTATGATTTAAGGGCATTTTCGTCTTTTCTACTCTACTCGCTCTACTTTCTTTTATTGTAGGTCAAGTTCGGGGCTCGGGATTTATTTTGGAAGATTCTCCAAGTCTTTTGGATGTTGGGGACAAGACCTCATTGAAAGGAATGGTGTCCTTCGAACAAGTGTATTATTCCGATAGAGGGTTCGAAATTAATTAGAAAGCTAATTATTCAGTGAGGTCAAGTGATTGAAATGCCTAGCTGGAGGCCGCTTCCGATTAGTAATATTAATGCATAATTAATATAACAGCTTAATCTTGACTTAACCCTTCAGGTCACACCCAATTGTGTAACCGAACCAAAGCGACGAAATAATCCTAAGGATTAAATGAGTCAATAGAGTTTTACGAATAAAGACGTCGGATTACGAGCTTAGAGCGCCATGCACCGAGTTGATTTTAGGAATCGACGAAGACGAGAAAAGTAATCAAATAATATATCGTGCTAAAATTACGAGGATAGCATGAGCCCCAGCCACGCCTCGGATCGTAGGCAAGAGGCTAAAGGCCGCAAGCATCAAGGCACCGAGCCACCATAGCGCTCGCAAGGCCCAGCTAAGCTTCCGTGGCGTGCGAGGCTTGCTGGGGCTGCTACGTGGCCCTATGCGACACAACACCCCAAGCCGGGCTGCCCAGCAAGGCCATCAAGCAAGCTGGACGCTGTTGGGCCTGCTATGCTGTTGTTGTTCACTTGCGGGTGCTACTACAGGCCTACATGCGTGTGTGGGCTTGCGGTGGCATCCGTAGGATTGCGGGCATGGGCTAGCATGCATGCCTAGCCTTGTGGTGCGAGGCTGCCAGCAAGGCTAGCCTTGCCTTGCTCTCCAAGGCCAAGGTGGTCCTCCTACCTACTCCCTCATTGTGTGATGACACTTGGCTTTGATTATTGTTTCATGGCTATTTAATTTAATGTGGAGCTAAATTAAATTCTATTTTGCCTTTTTACCAACTTTCCCACATTGAAAGATGATGGGATTTCAAGGGGCACTATTCGCTATAAATACCAATCATTTGGTATTTGGGAAAGGCACTTGAGTTAGTGAACTTTAAGGGATCTCTAAAACCTTTGTTCTAAAAACTCTAAGTTATTTTTGGTCTAGCCTTGACTAAGCTTCAGGGTAATGACCGGTGCGGTTCGGTTGCGAGGGTGTGAGCCGTTAGAGGTTCTCGCACTTGCGGAACTTGAAGCTTTCAAGCCTGAGCTCGAGGTTGAGCGAAGCGCGCTACGAGGGTGAGTATTTTGTCTCTTCTCTCTCTCTCTTCTCTTATGTTTATGTTTATTTTGCATGCTTTTATTTATGTTGTAATTATTACGCATGCGATCCGATTACCGGGTTTTGTTTCCACGCGGTGTCGAACACCGCAAAACCCAACAGTAGTGTAAGAGCCACTTGCTTTAAATTTTTACAACTAAAAATTAATTAAGGTGATTTAAAATGGATTTAAATTTTTGGTTTTGCAACCTAATTAGATTAGAAGCTCATTTTTAATTGGACTAAAATTGTATTTATGCTGATTTTGGATTATGAACTCATATTTTGACTCAAAAATAGTGAATTTTTGGTGGAATCTATGTTCTAATCAATCTTTACCTACATTGTGTTTAAAATGGCCTTCTAGAAGCCAAAATCTACCTAGAAAGTGGTTTTCCAAAGGGTTTTTTGTTTTTGACGAAAAATTTTAAATCTTTAAACCTTGATTAATTATGGCATGCAATTGTTGGATTATTTGTTTGATTATACCATTAATCTTCTGCAATTTTAACCTTTCTTAAGAATGCTTAAGAAGTAATAATTGGTGCTTAATTTGGTTAGCTCTTATTTTCACATAAACTTGCAATTTCACATTTTTGCAAACTAACTGGTTGGAGTGTGAATGTTTATGGTGAAAATGTATTTT